AACTAATCACCGTGTGTCCGTAAATGTAAATTCTATTGCCATTTCATGGTAGCAACAATTTGTTGTCGAGTTTGGTTGTTTTAGTAGATAAAATCTGAATTGTAGAACTGCAGGTTTTTGCCGATGAACGCGCTTAAAGCTTTAAGTGGCTTTCTGAAGAATGAAAGTGAATCGGACACATAAAAATAAGCCTTAATTGGAATTTTATGGCTTACGTCCGAAGCCGAAAGAATGAGAAATAGCCCGCCTGCTGCTTGAAATTAATAAATCCGAGATTAGCGGTTGAATCCTCATTATTTTTAAAGTTGGATGTGTTGGAATTTTTATGATCGGTAAAAAAAATTTGTAAATCGGTTTTAATGGAAAGTTCTTGGAAATTTGCGCTAACTTTTGCTTTGATGTGTCATTTGTTAAAAATGGTTGTCCGTATTAGTTTGTGTTTTATTCTTCATTTACGACGTTTTTTATTTAAATCAAGGCTTCGTTTATAACACCATTTAATAAAGTGAATATAACTTATTTTATTTCAACTTGTTTCACAACGTTTCTACGATGTTTTGTACAACCAATAAAATGAAATGTATTCCGTAAACTTTTGGCAATTAAAGCAAAAATATCCCTAAAAGGCTTCGTTTTAATAAATGGCTTTATTCTTAGTTGTTCATTGAATAAAATTCATAAGGTTTCAGATTAATATGATAACTATCTAAAAATTAAATTGATCACAAAAATGTTTGCGATTTTTTAGAACTTTAGAATTGGATAGAAGAAAAAAAAATAGAAGAAACATCAAAAAGAGAAAAAGAAACAAAATACTTCAATTTGTTAGAAAACAGAAATCTAATGTTAGATTTGAAGTAATTATTCAAATTTTTAAGGTCTTACTGAAAATTGTAAAACTTTAAATTTTGTATAAAATTACATACTCTTCATATATACACTTCATGACTTTTTTCATGTTTATGCAATAAAAAGTTTAAGTTCTACGCATATAAGAATTTCTTCTAAATTACTATTCTTTAAAGCGAGTTTTAAGGGCCATACAATTAATAATAAAATGTATGTAGTCCAATTATAACTGTAAATTTTTCTATAATCGTTATCTTTATATGTTCCACAAATTCTTTATTTTATAAAAAAAATCATCAATTACTTTTAAAGGAAAATAGCTCGAAATAAAGTGTAAATAATTGTAGTTTTGTAAATGAGTGTAATAATTTTGTGAATGAAAAATTTTTTTCTTGTATATTGTTACCATTATGTGTAGCACAAATTTATGAATGAAATTCCTCGATGATTTTTTAAAGAAAATAGCTCGAAATGAAGTGTAAATAATACATTAGGAAATGTTTTGTAAATGAAAGCAAAAAAAAAAAAATTTTTTTTTTGTTTTCATTTCATTCGGACATTTCCTTTCATTTTTGTTTTCATTCGGACAAAAAAATTTTTTTTTGTCCGAAATCTCACTTCACTAAAAGATAGAAAAGTATTCCAGAGTAGAGATACTTAAAACATATTTCCTATAAAGTCACGTTTTAGAGTTTAAATAAAATATATTTGATTATTTAAAAAAACATTTTTTGTCTCGCAACGAAAAATGTTCAGATATATTTTAATTTTTCTTAGCACTGTGAGAAAGTTTTGACAAGGTTGAACTATGATATCGTTTCTGCAGCCTTAATATGCTGCCAAGTTTAATTAACTTTCTATTTAAATCAGTTTAAGCTTGATTACACTTAACTGTTGAACGGAACTCTTTTAGTATGAACGTAATTTGCAGCAAATTTAAACCATAGTATGATTCAAGGCATCAATATTAAAGTTCAATTTAGGATTTATTTTTTTGCGAGTGGAAGTGTAAATATTATAAATTAAAAACGGGAAATTTTTTGTTGCATTTTGCATTAAAGCATTATTTTTATTTAAAGTAAAACGGATCAATTTTGTTAACGTATTAATGTTTGTAAATAGTGATCTGTAAATTGCACAAAGTTTGAAAGCCAACTTTATTATTTTTTAATAAATATATAACCACCAGTTTGTAGTTTTTTTTTACATTTTTAAACATAAACTGAACAAAAGACTTAAATAAAAAAGAGAATTATGAGTAAAAAATAAGTCTAATAAAATAATTTTTAATTCTAAATTAAGTTCCAAATGGATCATTTTGATTCGTTGCCATTGAAACTCTCCCCAAAGTTAGCCCTTTATCGGTTTGATCAGCAATTCTTTCTTCACAGTTAGAATATTTGGAAGTCGTCATTGAATTATAATATTGATCAAATTTTCTGTAACCTGGTATCATGATCTTACTACAGGAGCTTGATGAACGATATACTATGAGGCAAAAATATTGCGTGGTATTATGATTCAAGGTAATGACATTTTGGTGTACATCTAGCCAATTGTTTTAACAGTGTTGAAAATAGTGTTTGTAATATTGTTTATACTGAAGTTTAAAACATTGTTAGAAAAAATCATACAGCATAAATAATCATCAATCATTGTTACAAGCAATACAAATAAATAGCGTTTAAAACAATTATAAACAAAGATTTTTACACATATCAGATAAAAGCAACGTAAATCTGAATTGATCGTCAAAGCTGTAATGATGTGATTACTTACATGTTAACGTCTAATAGATTTAAATTGTTTTTCACTTGTAGTGTATTAAAAATAAATAGTGAAAACAATTCCAAAAGTATCTAACGCTTTAACCTTTTGATGCAGAATTTTATTAAACATATTTTTCATACTTATTTTCGTTATTTTGTATTAGCTTAGATCAAAATAAGTAAAAATATTATATTTAGCATTTTAAAAATTTATGGTTATAAAATACAACATGAAACACCTTTGTCTTTTCTGAGTTAAAGGTAAAATCTTCTAAACAAGGCTGACTTCTAAGTAATACTTTTTCGAATGTACTCTTATGTGCAATCATTAACATCTTAGAAAAATAGCCATTCATCATTGAAATTTCTTTAATTTACAAACTCAATTATTGATAAAAATTTTCTTTCAAACTACTGTTATTTGAAATTTATTCTTAGCACAAATATAACTCCGACAATTTAACAGATTTTTTTAGTCACTATTAGGCTATCTTTTATAACTAAAAATACCAAAAAAAAATTTTTGCTAGCAATTAGAGAGTTAGAAAAAAACATATCTGACACCGGTGTCTCATGTGCATCGAAGGGTTAATAGAAAATGCAAATTTCTGATACAGTTTCTCTAAAAGTTGTAATTCAAATTTCCTGCGGCTTTTTATCCATTAGTAGTACTGAACAAAACCGAAATCCAACTCGTACTAGGTGTCTAGTGGTTCAATACGCGTGAAATTACTATTAATTAGCATTGCGCATGTCAGTTAGAATTTATTATTAGCACAAATATAACTCCGATAATCTAACAGATTTTTTTACTCACTATTAGACCACTTTTTTTATAACTGAAGAAATACCAAAATATATTTTTGCTAGTAATTAGAGAGAGTGAGAAAAAAATATATCTGACACAGAAGGGTTATCAGAAAATGCCAATTTCTGATCCAGTTTCTCTANATTAGCTTAGATCAAAATAAGTAAAAATATTATATTTAGCATTTTAAAAATTTATGGTTATAAAATACAACATGAAACACCTTTGTCTTTTCTGAGTTAAAGGTAAAATCTTCTAAACAAGGCTGACTTCTAAGTAATACTTTTTCGAATGTACTCTTATGTGCAGTCATTAACATCTTAGAAAAATAGCTATTCATCATTGAAATTTCATTAATTTACAAACTCAATTATTGATAAATTCTTTTTTCAAACTACTGTTATTTGGAATTTATTCTTAGCACAAATGCAACTCCGACAATCTAACAGATTTTTTTAGTCACTATTAGACCACTTTTTTATAACTAAAGAAATACCAAAATATATTTTTGCTAGTAATTAGAGAGTGAGAAAAAAATATATCTGACACCGGTGTCCCATATGCGCCGAAAGGTTATTAGAAAATGCCAATTTCTGATGCAGTTTCTCTAAAAGTTGTAATTCAAATTTCTTGTGGCTTTTTATCCATTAGTAATACTGAACAAAACCGAAATCGAACTAGCAGTCTAGTGGTTCAATACGCACGAAATTACTATTAATTAACATTGCGCATGTCAGTTAGAATTTATTATTAGCACAAATATAACTCCGACAATCTGACAGATTTTTTTACTCACTATTAGACCACTTTTTTATAACTAAAGAAATACCAAAATATATTTTTGCTAGTAATTAGAGAGTGAGAAAAAAATATATCTGACACCGGTGTCCCATATGCGTCGAAGGGTTATTAGAAAATGCCAATTTCTGATGCAGTTTCTCTAAAAGTTGTAATTCAAACTTCTTGTGGCTTCTTATCCATTAGTAACACTGAACAAAACCGAAATCGAATTCGAACTAGCAGTCTAGTGGTTCAATACGCACGAAATTACTATTAATTGACATTGCGCATGTCAGTTAGAATTTGTTATTAGCACAAATATAACTCCGACAATCTGACAGATTTTTTTACTCACTATTAGACCATTTTTTTTTAACTAAAGAAATACCAAAATTTATTTTTGCTAGTAATTAGAGAGTGAGAAAAAAATATATCTGACACCGAAGGGTTGTCAGAAAATGCCGACTTCTGATGCAGTTTCTCTAAAAATGGTAATTCAAATTTCTTGTGGCTTTTTGTTCATTAGTAATACTGAACAAAACAGAAATCGAACTCGTACTAGTAGTCTAGTGGTTCAATACGCGTGAAATCACTATAAATTAACATTGCGCATGTCAGTTAGAAATTTTTTTATCTTGTTGTCTAAAATTGTCGTTTTCCAGCATCTCTTGAACATAACCGACATAAGTTTTAACCAGGCATAGTTAATCAACTAATCGTGCAATTTTCTTTTTACCATGCTAGAAACAAAAACCATTAATTTTGCTGTTGTTTAAAAGCAAAATAAGTCTAACCTTTCTACCAGCCTCGTTATTGTGCAGGTTCATCAGTGCCCTGGCATTTCCATGGCCACGAGCTGCTTTTAAATCTCTAGCATCGACGAAACTCTTTGAGAAAGCTGTGCCATATGCCACATTGTCAGAGCATCCAGACCATTGGAAACCATCGGGAGAAAATCCCCTCACCGTCCTATCACAACCACATCGACCCAGGGAACCACTGCTGCAGGAACGTGTGACAGTATGTGCAACGCCTGCTGCAGAAATGGCATGCACAAATGCTGCTTCTCTTGTACCTAAAATGAATAAAAATTACAACTCAAGAGAAAAAAGTATTCTAAAATCATTAGATCTGATATTAAACTGTACATTCCATTTCAGTTTTATTTTTAATTCATTAATGAATCATTTAAAGATACTTCATGAAGACTGTGAGAAAACGGAACTAATGCAACAATTTGCAAGGCATGGGAACTTTGTGGATATTCTCAATTATATCTAGTTCCCATTCAATTTTATTTTTTGTTCCAATGGGATACCTATATGTGACGTAGTGCCGGTACGGTATAACCTGATTGGTGGTTGAAATGTGGCATTTGTTTACGTTAGCAACTGTTCTTTCCATTCTATTTCGAGTAAGCCAAGCCCGTCAAGTATCACTTATCTCAAGGGACACATTCTAAATTCTTTCACAAAAATACTTTCTCAAATATTTCAATTCTTTCACTATAGATTTACTCAGAGACTTAGCACAAAAACAGGCACGAAGGCTATATGGAACATAAACAAACTAATTATGTATCGAAGTTGCCAGGTACGCAAAACAAAAATATATCATGGTTACACTAAAATGCATAAACAATTAATAAATCTAAGTTACTTAAACGAAGTAAACGAGAAAGAATTGTATTCCAATTAATTCGATGGGCGTTACGGGTTTCTGTATTTAACTAACTTATCTTTAATTAACATTCTAACTTAAATAGAGAAACTTAGCTCAACTTAAATACGCCATTAAGCTGATTAAGATTAGCTGGCGCTGACATCATAGGTTACATGTGTGAGTATGGGTGGTCTTCTTCTTCTTGAAGTGCAAGTACTCAATTGCAGAAAATTCAGAATGTTAAACTGATAATTTAATGAAAAGTTCGCATTAAAATAAGAGGGTTTGTGAAATATTAGAGTATATTCCTATACAATTTCTCTTCTTTGAAGGTGTTCATTAAATAAAGTTAATCGTGATATGTCTTATTATTCTTTTTATTTCACTTTTAAATGTGAAATAAAAAGAAGAGAGTACCCAATTGAATTGAGAATTCAAAATGTAAAACTAAGAAAGATCGATAATCTCTGAAATTGATCAGGGTTTTTGTAAGCTAAGTAAAATTGCAACTTTTAATAGCAGTAATAAGCAATCAAGGCATCATAAAAAAATTTATCATAATTTTTAGAAAAACAATTATTAGTTTTTTAAGCATTAATCAAGTTTCAAATAAATTTTAGATTAATAACCAAAGCGTACCTCAGTTGGTTTTATTTTATTTAATACTTAAGAGAACAGTTTTTTTAACACAATAAAACAAACAAGAGTAAATTATTTTGGCCTCTTTCATTTTGTTAAAAAATAATATTTAAAAATGAAAGAAAGAAAGTAAATTTTTGAGCATCTAATTCTCGAACAGGCACATGTTTTATTTTAAATGAATTTCTGAGTTTAATTTTTAACTATTTTAATATATATCTTTAAACAATTTACAAAGTTTAAGTATCTAGACCTTAATTTCGTTTTATTTACTTGCATTCGAGTTCATGAGAGTGGATTAATTCAAATTTTTGACAGGCTAGAATGTTTAAATCTCTGGAGGAACTCTCTGCCGTATGGCAAAGTAAGTTTCAATTGTTTCTTCACCGCTTCAATCAGAATTTATCCCTTCAAGTAATTAATCGTAAATACTAATTCAGAAAAAATTAGAACTGATTGTTTAGAGTGTTTAAAACTGAACTGGAATTTAATGAAAATGTAAGTTTTAGTCCCCTTTTCACACTGCTATAAACAGAATTTATCTCGTCCTTTTTCACTAAATAAAGTTTATCATCAAAAGAAATATTTGATACTTTTTGAGAAGCTATACTTCTAAAATTTAGAATGCAATTATTTGCAAGATACCAATACAAATTGAATGTGTTATCTTAATGATGAAATAATTCCAATAAAAAATAAATGTGTTATCTCCAATTCACACCGATTCAATTTTGACATTTTTCAAACATTAAAAAACTAACAGATACAAATTACAAATATTCGAAGTGAAATTAAAGGACAAAATAATTTATTTTCTTCTCACCTAAAGCGAAAAATGTAGAAAACATTACTTTTGTGATAGATCTTTATTGCTAATCAAACATTCTCATGTTTTACTATTAAGAGGAGCCTTACACTTTCCATTTTAGGAGTGCAAAAATGCAACTATTTTCACTTTTTCAGTTCATTTAGAACTTGCAGTTTTTTTAAATTTTATTTTATTTTGTTATGTCGCTAAGAATCAATGCTTTAAACTGAAAAAAACAACAAAAAAAATTTTAAAGCATTTTTGGCCTTTTCGAATTTAAATTTTAAAATTTTATTGTTAAATAAACTAATGCACACCATGATACTTAATGGACAAATGGCAGTAGTTTGCATGTTGTACAAAAGTTTAAATTATATTTTAACATATTTCTTCCATAAAATTGAGTGTACAACTTAGTCCATACTTAGTATAACACTCAAAAGAAACACCCTTAACGACGAAATATAAATCATCGCCACGAATCCGTAAGAAAAACACCTTAAAGACGGAATTTCTCCCTGCGGTTTTTTGTAAGATAATTCCATCAATTACAACTCTTAACAGTAGCAATAAAGGCCATAAATAAAGACTTTCTACCTGCCGTCAAAAAGCTTAATTTACAATTACAATTTTTATTAGGCTTCACGAGAAAAAACAAACTCATGTACTTGAGATGCAACAAGATTTATCTTTTAATTTTATATCCCCCAACGTATGGAACAACACTTTATTGCTGCATCACACCCTATGTTCATCCAAGAGTTGGAAGAACCCGTTGTGTTGTTAATTGGATATAACGCGTTTCTTATCTCAACATTAAACTTGAGTTCCTTCCAAGTAACAACTTAAAATATGTTATTAATGTGTTTCATGATATTAAGGCGTGGACTATGTTGTAGAATAACTTTTGCTGTTGTTCTTGGATATCAGCTTATTTCTACATTAAAACGTCGCTTCACTATATGACAACCTGACAGTTTCATTCAAATGGGGAACACGTGACAGTGTTAGAGCAGCAGGGCTAAAACAGTGCTGTCTTGTATTGAGACCTTTATATTTGAGCAAGATAGTCTGAATAATGCATTATGTCTAAATATCTTTGTCAGCCAAATACATCCTGCAATGTTTACTATGAATCCCAACGTGTTTGGATACTTATACGACATAATGCGTTTACTGGATAGATTTAGATTTTACTGTATTCCGTTGATCACCTTAATTTCTAGATGTAAATCTCGATTAGCATTTGTGTATGAAGTTGAAAGCCCACTTAGTCTCAGATAATTGGAAAAGGCTTTGAATTTGCCATAAACGATTTATACACATCTCCATGACAAGAAAAATCAAGGCTGTATTAGAGAGAGAAATGTATCCAAATAGGGTGTTTACAAAGGGTATTTACAATAAAGTAGTCGTTCACTGCGTTTTTAGATAGACTAAAAGCGTCAATTGCTTGTACAAATTCAATAAAACTGTATTACTTTAGGAAAGCTAAACTCAAGTGCGATTTACAATTTCTAAATCTTCTTTCGAATTCGTGAGTTTTATTTGAAATTTTGAAGATCACAAATTATTATTGAGAGGCTCTTTAATTTAGTTTTCTTGTATAACATGCTTTTAATTATTTTAGTCTTTCATGTATTTTAAGCAGAGTTTTTATCCTGAATTTTGTATTAAACAATGGAGTCGTATCTTATAAACGATCTGCTGCTTAGTTTGTGGTACTTGAGTTTGAATTATTTATTTAAATAAATCAAAATAGATAAATGTTACAGATAATTAAAACGAAAAAAGAAGTTAATATTTCCTCTTAAAACGAACCTATGATGCTTAATTTATTATTTTCATTTGCACTAAAGTATAATACATAAAACGCGTTAAAACTTAATTTTACAAATTTTCGCTTCAAAAATTAAAAACTGACTACAGCAACAGGGCTTATTAGATACCAGTGACCATGAAAAAAATGTAAGGAGAAAATGCTGAGTTAAGATTGTTATGATTTGTGCAACAATTGAACAGTCAGTTTCCAGAATTCGAACTGATAATTGGCTGACAAATTTTATTTCTATGTGAAAATGAAGGAAAAAAAGTAACTTTTGGAGCTCAACAAGCTCTCCATTTATTCATATTCGTTTATTAGAAAATTAAGATTTATTTATAGAGATTTATATCTCCAAAATTAGTATTCATTTTTTAAACTTTCTCTTTTTAGAATTTGAAAACTTTTTTATTCCTAAATTTTTAACAATTATTTCTTTTTACTATTGTGCTAATACTGAAAGACCTGCTTAAAAATCTAAAAAACAAAATCGAATGAAAGTGAACTTTCTTAAAATTGAAAATGGTTAAGTGAATGTGGATCTGGTAATTGATCCAATTTGACGTAGAATCGCTCTAACTTTCAATTTCTATTTAGCTGTGGCTTATTTAAATTTCAACAAAAACTTTCTTGTTCTTGTTACATAATTTTTATAGACAAATTGAATAATGTCAGAATTCATTTAAATACTTCGTTCCATTTAGATGATAACTAAATTTATTGTTTAGTTTAGTTAATTAAATTTATTATTTAGCTATTCTTAATTTCTATCAAGATTAATAACTAAAATAAATAACTTCAGAGGAATAACTAACTAATACAACAATTTTCATAGAGGAAAATATTATAAAATAATATATGGAATATCTAAATGGGACATAACAGTAAATAACAACCACTGAAAATTTCCTAGTCCGAAATTTCGATCTCTTGCTTCATTGAATATTTTCAAGAAATTTGTTTTAGTTCATGTTTGTTAGTGATAAATTAATAAAAGTACTGGAACATAATAAATAACACTCAATGAAGATTTCCTAGGGTAAAATTTTGATCGTTTGTTTCGCTGAATATTTTTTTAATATTTTTTATACTTTATGTTTGGTAGTGAAAACTCAATGAAGGTAATGGAACATAACAATAAATA